ATGTCCGGTGGAGAATCTTTAAGAAATTTTTTAATCGTATGTTATAGATTTTTATTTTTTTAATATTAATATATAATAATTAAAAATTTAATGTTTATATTTATAATTTTATCAATTCAAACAGCTCAAATAAATTACAAACCAATTCAAGCATTAAAAATAAAACTCGATCCAACTTGATCTAAGATTCTAACTTCAATTTTATGAAGCAAGGTTAATATTACGTTTATTAGACTCAATTCAATTATACCATTGCGATAATGCTTGATAAAAGGTAATTCTTTCAAAAATTATGATAATTTATACATAATAATTAAATTATTATATTTTGTAAGTATTTTATATTCTTACGTGATTATGATCTAATTTTCATACAAATAATGAAAAATTTTTATTATTGAAATTGAGTAAGACATAAAATTAATAATAATTAATATTATTTATTTAAAATATGAATTAAAAATTTATTTTCTTTTAAAATTATAATTATTTTATATTATAAATTTTACATTTTAAAACTATTATTTATTGAAATAAAATCAAAATAATTTATCTGTTTTTAATATTTTGTATAATATAATTTAATAGATTAGTTTTATTTCTAATTCAAATATATTTTTACATAATTTATATTATAAAAATTAATTTACTTATCAACAAAATATATTTATTAATTTAATAGTTTAATTATATTTTATTATAAATTAAATACAATATTATTAATATTTTTCAATTATTTCTTTAAATAACATTAAAATTATTAACTTCTGTTAATATAACTATTACAATATATATAATTATTTTAAAATTTAAACAAAATAATATTTAATTTTAGTAATAATAAATACAGTGATATTAATTACAAAAATATAATAATTGTTAATCAAATAAATGATTTTAAATCATAATAAATAAAATCACTTTATAAAAAATCATCTTAATAATTACATTACCATAATGATCTACCAAAATAATCATTTAAAAAAATTATTCTTGGAACAAGGTGACAAACTTCACCATCTCCATGTTTTATTATTTCCTTTGAAATTTGATACATTATAATGTGAGGGTAAAAAAAAAAAAAAAAACCCACAAATTTACAATATTAAATTAAATTGAAACACAACAAGCTATTAAATTAATTACTACTAGTTTTAAATCCAAATTATGCTAGGAAATATGGATTAGTTATATTTTTTATATTATATAATATTATTTAAAAATTAAATATATTTTATTTCAAAAATAAATTAATTATAATTTAAAATCAAATAAAATTATTCATGATAATACAATTTGGAATCTAATCTCATTAATGGTGGTAATATATACGTTTAAATTTTATATTGAATTTATAATTAATTTCAATATATGATGTTTATTAAAAAAAAAAATAATTGAATTTTTTTAAATCATTATATTAAATCTTATGATTTAATATTATTGAACATCAATATGCTTTAAGTAAAGTTTTTCTAATAGAGTTCTCAATGTAATAAAAAAATTTTTTTTTTTTTAATTACATTATAAGGATAAAGTCTTAGTATAAGTAAAAGGAATATGATAAGTTTAATTTAAAACCAAACTCTTGATATCTTCTCAAATGTCTTTAACCACTAAATTAAAAATTAAAAAATTTTTCTTCTACAATCATCTAATAAAATATAAAACATTATAAAAATATTGTTATTATACAACATAATAACATTCTCACAGCTCACGGAGCCCCGCTGATCGTCTGGAGTATTGAATTTCATTGTGAACTTGCAGAATTGAATTCCTTTGTGTTTTAGAAAGAGAGAAATATTGACGTGGAAAATTGTCACCTTTGATTTAAGTACACGTGTAATTTTGTAATAACAACAATTGAGATCTTACTATTTTTTAATGCTGAGGAATATCTTTGCAAAACTAAATTAAAATTTGAATAATATAATTATAAATAAATCATTGAACTATTAAATAACATACAGTACTAAAAATTTAAATATGAAAATAAAAATCAACATTAATATCAGAAGTTATTCTAATTTTTTTTTTATTTTTAATCTCATCACAATTAATCTTATTATTTGTCCAAATGAAACCTAAATAACCTAATACCGAAGGAATATCCAATGACAAATATTTTTCATAAATTAGCAAATGGGAATAAATCAAGTTTATCAAATGTGTATAATCAATACAATACTTTTCATATACAAAGAAAGTCAACTACATGTATTCTATTTTTTAACCATAAATATTTGGTTTGAATTAATTATATTTAGGTATAATTTTATAAAAATAAAATTGATTTTCTAAATTAAAAAAATCATATCAAATCATACACATTTATTAGAAAAACATGATATTTTATATATAAATTTAATAGAGAGTGACTTAAAATAAATAATAATAAAAATAAATATAATTAATTTAATTTTTTAAATAATTCAAAT